TTAATACAGTAATAAGAGTATCAGGAACCGCTGTACTGGACCCCAGTCTCCTGCAAGGTGTTATGGTACACAGCAAAAAGAAAGCACAAGAGACAGAATGGTACTGTAACTGGGATCTGGGATGACCAGTTCATGGGGAACAAAAGGCCAAGAGGTAACCAGAACCTCAGCATTTATTGATTGAGGAAAACGATGAAAGGATTATCGGATGAACAGTAGTGGGCTTGTGCTAATGATCTTTATGTTGATGAGGACAGTGAGGATACATGGCAGATTAATAGGCTTATTCTTTCCTCAAGGAGAAACACTTTTTTTTTTAATAATTACTACTCGGTTCTCAAGGAACCAGGTTATATTCAGTTGATGTAGTCTTGTCCTGGGGCAGCACAGCATCAGGGACCCGGATGTTGAAGTCTCAGCTGTGACCAGGCACACATGGGTTTATGTTTGTGCAGTTATGTTTGGCCATTCCTGGCTCCCATGGCAAGATACTAGGCCTCAGACATGCCCTAATTACAATTAAGTTGTGAAATAATTTTTCCCAAAAAATTATATGGAAAGGCCCTTGAGAATGGAAAAGTTTCATATTGAAGCAGTAAATACAATTCCTTCAGTTGCCTCTATTATAGCTTGCTAAATCAAGGTTGTTTCAAGGCAGATAAAGTAGGATAAGGTGGAATGTATGTATGGCTAATTGATGATAAACCACAAATCCAAGAATCCTATTTAATTTTTAAAACTGGGATCTGGGTCTAAGGATGTAGTTCAGTGGTAAAGTTCTTGCCTGTATGAAGCCCTTATGTGCAATCCCAGCAACTTCCATATATATTGTGTGAAGTCTGTGCACTGCCACCTAGTGGCACAAATAGGGAACTCGCTTGTACAAGGGGAATTTATTATTTAGCTAACTAAATTTGTTATCAAAACCTTGTCAAAGAATAAAAAAAGGCCTTGCCAGCCCTGCCCTTTCCACCTCCCAACCTCCCACCCCCGTGCCGTGAGATGGCCATTTAGACTGGTCATTGTAGTACATGCCTGTAATCCCAGCGCTTGGGAGGCTGAAAACAGGAGGATTACTAGGAATTTGATCTGTGTAGTGAGACCCTGTAGACCCTATACTAAATACATAAAAAAGAAAGAAAAAAGAGTAATAAAAGTGATACAGACATTACTAATACACACATTCTGCTGCTAAAAACAGCATGCATGGGCCACAGAGATAGATCAGCAGTCTAAGCGCCTGCCTAGACAAGCGCAAGGACCCAGTTCGATCCCTGGTACCACATGCTGTGCAGGCCCTGCCCTGGGTGCGCTGAGCCGGCCAAGACCAGGCGTGGCGGTACACACTGTAATCTCAGTGCTGCGGAGGTTCAAATAGGAGGATCACTACCAGTCTGAGCTGCTGATTGAGACCCTGTGCCAAATACATAAAAAAAAAATTTAAACAGCATGCATAACTAAATAAAAGGGAAGCAAATTGGGTTGTAGAGACATAATCTACTACAGAGAAGTTGGAGATAAGAAAGATTAATTCTCAGCTGAAGTTGTACTTCAGGAGTACAGCACTTGTCTAGCACACATGAGGCCCTGAGCTCTATCTTCAGCGTTTGAAAAAGAGATGAATAAATAAACTAATATTACTTCTTAATGAAGAGATGAGTAAGGTGCAGAAAGAAAAAAAATTGATTTATACATAAGAGGAAAAGGCATTCCTGTGGGTAGATCAGTCAAATGCCTAAAGTATCTTGGAGGGACAATGAGCAATTAAAATGCATGAAGAGAAGATAATATAAGAAAAGTATGTTGAAATTGGGGCATAAGGGTATGAAATGTTAGGTTAAACCAGAAGTCTACAAATTGTTCTGAAACTTGTTAGCTTGCAGTACAGAAAAATTATCCCTGGCCAGCATGAGTTCTTAGCTGTACGTAAGATGAAACTCATAAGGGGGCCAGTTGTAAGGCTAAAATAAAATTTTCTTACAGGAAAGAAGCACAGCTGCTTGTTTCACAGACAGCAGCCCTAGAGAGAACAGCCAAGTTTGCTGTGCCGTGCCTGCCTAAAGGGCTGCAGAGATCACTGTTCTACCAACAGAGCAGCCCACACAAAGGGAGGCATTTTCCATTTAGGGAATCTGATCCAGGTCTCCCATGCGTCCAGCTTCTTCATCTCAGCTTAATCCTTTAATTATCTTTTGCTGTTTTTCCTCATCACCACAAAATGCAGCGGCCCGATTGTTTCCTGTCAGGCAACTACTTCAAAGTCCTGTGAGCTCCCTTCCTCAGTTGTACATCCAGCTTACAGACTCAGACTCCCTGGGTTCAGATCCCCCTCTAGCTTGTTTGTCTTTGGGCCTTGGGAAGTAGCTTAATATAATATAATAAAAGTCCTGTCAGGTCCTGGCCTCGAAATCTCAGAACTTCCACAGTTTTTAACAAATCTTACTAGATAACTTTGTAGAATTTACATAGAAATGCAAAAGAGCTAGTAGGGACAAAAGATGTATGAAGGTAGCAAAGTTGGAAAATTTATACCTCAGGATTTCAAGACTTACTACAGTACTACCGGAATCAAGAGGTAGTACGCTAATAGCGTGCAACTAAGCAGACAGATCAATGAAATATACTTGGGAGTCCATAAATAAAGTCATTTATATGGTCAATTAATTCTCCACAAATGTGCCAAGATAATTCAATAATGAAAGGATAGCCTTTTTAAAAGATAGTGTCTGAATGCCAAGACATTTGGATAGGCATATGGAAGAAAAATAAAAAAGAGAGAAAGAGGAAAGGAAGACAGGAGAAAGGGAAAGGGAAAAAAAGAGGGAAGACAGGAGAGACTTAATTT